TCACTCCTGTCACCCTGCCTTCATGGAGTGTTCACACAGGTATGCATGTAACAGGATGCTATTGTAGGAGAGAGAGAAAGAACCAATTTCTTTATCAGTTCAGGTCAGTTTAGTCGCTCAGTCGTGTCCGACTCTTTGTGACCCCATGGACTGCAGCACGCCAGGCCTCCCTGTCCACCAACTCCCGGAGCTTGCTCAAACTCATGTCCGTCGAGTCGGTGATGCCATCCAGCCATCTAATCCTCTGTCATCCCCTTTTCCTGGCTTCACTCTTTTCCAGCATCAGGGTCTTTTCCAATGAGTCAGCTCTTCACATGCAAAACTTCTTTATGTATGTGTGCTATGTTACTTCAGTCGTGTCCAACTTTTAGCAACCTCATGGACTGCAGCCTCCCAGGTTCCTCTGTCCATGGGATTCTCTAGGCAAGAATATTGGGGCGGGTTGCCATGCCCTCGTCCAGGGGATTTTCCCCACCCAGGAATCTAACCGGCTTCTCTTAACATCTCCTCCATTGGCAGGCGGGTTCTTTACCACTAGTGCCACCTGGGAAGCCCCAACTTCTTTATGTAACCCACTTCTTTTCTTTTTTTGTTAATTTCTGCATTAATATCTATCCATGCTTTCTTTCAAATGTTAATGCATTCAGGGACTTCCCTGGTGGTTCAGCGGTTAAGACTCCTCCCTCCCAATGCAGTGGGCACATGTTCAATCCCTGGTCAAGCAGCTAAGATCCCGCAGGCCACATGGCAAATTAATAATAATGATTCCTCCTATGAAAAATAAAATTTGTTTTTAAAAAATTATAGTGCATTTGCTTTATTGCTCTTTTTCTAGCCTGTTGACTTGTTTTGTTCCTTTCCTTTCTTGTGAGCATTTTTCCTAATTCCCATTTGCAGCTATAGCTTTTCCTTGGAGTTCAACTCTGGCTCCACTTGACAAGTTTTGCAGTGTTATGCGCTCGTTTCTGAGGGCTTCCCGGATGGTTCAGCGGGTAAAGAATCCGCCTGCAAAGCGGGCGACAGTCTAAAGAGTCGCCAAGAGTCGGATACAGCTAAGCACACACACACATGCTCATTTCTAAACAAATGGCCCTCCAGTTTTATTCTTCCTATTAGCCCGAGAGTTACTTAGAGGGTGTTTTGAAATGTGTGAAACACCTGAATGCTTGTGGTTGTCCCTTGTTATTAATGTCTAATTGTGGATGTATCATTTCTGCTTTTGGGAAACAACCTGTGCTAAGCTTCTGACTCAGTCTATTCTTGAGGAAAGCGGAGACTATCTTTGCAGGAGTCTGATTTATTTTTAAGGCTATAAAGTTTGTTATTGAGACGGCTAGGAAATTTCGACTATAGATTGTTTTCATTTATTATTTTTTTTGGCTGTGCTGGGTCTTCGTTGTTGCACATGGACTTTCTGTAGTTGCAGCGAACCGAGTCTCTCTTCGTTGCAATGTGCAGGCTTCTTGCAGTGACTTGTCCAGTTGTGGAGAACAGGGTCTAGACACACGGGCTTCAGTGGTTTCTGCACATCGGCTCAGCAGTTGCGGCTCATGGGCTTAGGTGCTCCTTGGCATATGTCAAATATTCCTGGACTGGGAATCGAACCTGTGTCCCCTGCATTGGCAGGCAGATTCCTATCCACCGTACAACCGGGGAAGTCTGAATATGGATTGTTGAATCAGATAATATCAGTGTTAAAGTTCTTGAGGGTGGTGATGATATTATGGATGTCCTTAGGAGACTCAGATTATAGAATTTACAGATAAAATAGCATGATGTCTGCACCTACTTTAGAAAGGTTCAAAACATTCTAGAGGTGCCTCTGACTGTTGAGTCCATTGAGAGAGAGCAGCTGTGCTGTGGGCTTCTTCCCTTGGCCTCCCAGACTTCACATCTCCCTGCGGGTCTGTTCATCAGGGCGGATACGTCTCCGTGCGTGAGTGTGCGTGTGGAGAGATTAGAGAGACAGGTGGGTGGGTGTTTAAAGAGAAAGATTCACAGAGAAGTAGAGAGAAGAGACATGGACAGAGAAAGACAGAAATAGAAGCAGTAGCGAGATACACAGATGAGAAAGTAGTGGGGAGAGGGAAAAAGGGTGGAAGAGAAATATATGGACATGGGCAAATATTAACGTTTGATAAATTTAGTTGTAAGTTATACTGTATTATTCTTGTAATGGTAGATATGAGCTGTTTCAAATGAAAAATTTCAGAGGAAAAAGGCAAGTCAAAAAAAAGAAAGAGAGAGAAAAGATTAAGGGACTTCCCTGCTGGCGCTAGTGGTAAAGAATCCACCTGCCAATGCAGGAGACATAAGAGACACGGGTTCGATCCCTGGGTTGGGAAGGTCCCCTGGAGGAGGGCATGGCAACCCACTCCAGAATTCTTCCCTGGAGAATCCCAAGGACAGAGGATCCTGGCGGGCTATAGTCCATAGGGTTGCACATAGTCAGACACGACTGAAGCAATTTAGCACGTGTGCACTGGTGGTCCAGTGGTTGAGACTCCAAGCTTCCAAGGCAGGGGGAATAGGTTCAATCCCCAGTCAGGGAACTAAGATCCCACACGCTGTATGGTGCAGCCAAAAAAAAAAAAATCTTTTTTTTAAGATTTATTTTAAAAGTTAGGATAGAGGTTATCTGTGGAGATGGAGGACGGGTTGGGAGGGAGAGGAAGAGGGACACTGGGGTTGCTGACGCTGCTCCACTCCATAATGCAACGTTGCACAGATGTTCAGTTCAGTTCAGTTCGGTCGCTCAGTCATGTCTGACTCTTTGCAACCCCATGAACCGCGCAGCACGCCCGGCCTCCCTGTCCATCACCAGCTCCCGGAGTCTACCCAAACTCATGCACAGATGTTCAGTTCATGATAAATCAGGTCTTCCACTCCTGTTTCTGTGTTGTTCAAAATGTGGATAACGTGGAATAATTTAAAGTTTCCAAGAAATCACTGAAGCATACTCAAAGCAACCTAAATGCGCATCATACCTGCGGTCACAGTACATCCAGACCAGGAAACACTTGACCACCAGCACTGAAAAATAACATCAGACCTCCTGTATCCAAGCATTTCCAAGCATTTCCAAGATACACTTTTAATGAAACGCATGCATGCCCACAATGTAAGATAACATACACATGCTCTGTTTGAAAATGCTTATGCAGGCTTACCTAGGATATCTGGAAGGATACACAAGAAACTGACAATAGTCTCTAGCCAAAAGAAGATGGAATGGAGGATCTGGAAAGGGGGAGAATCATTTTCTTCTTCTGCTTTTTTAAAGGTTCATGTGTTTATTTTTGGCTCTGCTGGGTCTCCCTCGCTGTCTGCAGGCTTTCTCTAGTTGCGGCGAGCAGGGGTTGCTCTTTGCGGCCGTGAGCGGGCTTCTCCTTGTGGAGGCCCCTCTTGTTGAGGGCGTGGGCTCTAGGTGTGAGAATTTCAGTAGTCGCGGCAGATGGACTCAGCATTTGTTGCTCTCGGGCTCTGGAGCACAGGCTCAGTAGTTGTGGCGCTCAGGATTCATTGCTCTGAAGCATGTGGGATCTTCCAGGACCAAGGATCGAACCCACGCCCCCTGCGTTGGCAGGCGAATAATCCTTAACCACTGGACCACCAGGAAAACCACTCATTTTCTTTTTTTTACTATGTACCCACATTGTCTTAAAGTTTTATTTTTTTGATAAACTGATTTCCCAACTTATTTTTAAGGTGCATCTTTCCTTCCTGATGCTCAGACATTGTATGGTTTCATCCTCTCCCCATTCCTGTGAAATAGGAAAGCATTTGGTCTCCTTTCACAAAGTCAAGAGAACCGAGGCTCTGGGTGGGGAGTTCTCAGGGCTAGTCAAAGCAGGATCAGAACTCATGCTTCTGATTACAAACAAGTAGGATGATCTCTTTTGATTCGGCTGAAAAAAAAATATTTGCCTCTACCTAGAAGCCAGAGAATGGTCCCAGGTGACCAGGGACCACTAGGATTTTTGTTCCCAGAAAAGAGTATTTATTATATACATCGATAGGCTGCTATTGGATTCCAGTAACAGAAAACCTGACTCCAAAGAGCTTTGACATTAAGGAGATTTATTATGTCGCTCACACAAGTTCAGAGGTTGGCAGCATAACAGTTAAAGAATAGAGTCAGCAGCTGTAACAGACACACAAAACAACCGCCGCTTNCCAGCACCACAGTTTGAAGGCATCCATTCTGTGACACTCAGCCTTCTTTATGAGCCAACTCTCACATCCATAAAAAGAAAGAAAGAAAGTGAAGTCGCTTAGTCATGTCCAACTCTTTGTGACCTCATGGACTGTAGCCTACCAGGCTCCTCTGCCCATGGGATTTTCCAGGCAAGAGTACTGGAGTGGGTTGCCATTGCCTTCTCCAATGAGTGAAGTCGCTCAGTCGTGTATGACTCTTTGTGACCCCATGGACTGTAACCCATAGCTGACCACAAATATCTGAGGAACCCCAGCCAAAACAGAAAACTGCTCAGCTGAGCCCTGCCCAAGGTGATGACCCAAAGAAATCACAAAAGGTTATTATTTCAAGCCTCTACGTTTGGAGATTTTTTTTTACACTGCAAAGCTAACTGATACACTTTCATTCTAGACAATGGAAAGGGTGAAATGGAGGAATGGAGGGCAGGCACCTTCCATTAAGGGCACTTCAAGGAGGTTACATCAATTACTTTCACTCACATGCTATTGGCCAGGAAGTAGTCACAGGGCCATCTTTAGTTGCAAGGGACGCTGGGGAATGAAGCCTTTTTTTCCTTGACTAACCTTGTGGTTAGCCTGAAACAAGTAGGAGTCTCACTATAAAGGAAGGTGAAATAGATACTGGGGGGAAAGCCTGATGTTTCAAATGGAGAGATTTAGATAAGGGATTGCCGGGAAGACTTCCTGAAAGAAGAGGCAGGATTGGGCAGAGTCCTGGAAGTCATGGGGAAGGGGCTGCAAGCTGCACAGGAGGGCTTCCAGCTTGTATGTGAAGGTTTCCATCATCTCCTGGGGGCTTCACCTTGGGGACAGGCTGATTGAAAAAGCCCTCCTCGCCAAATGCCCGGGCCAAGACGGAAGGTAAAGACTGAAAAAACTTCTCTTGGAAATCTCTGCCAATGAAGACATAGAGGAAAGTGTTGAGGCAGCTGTTGAAACAACCCAGGGAGAAGGTAGCCCAGATGATGGGCTGCAGCTTATTTTCGGCTTGCCACTGCCACAGTCGGACCACCAGCACCGTGTTAAACGGGAACCAGAAGGCAAAAAAGCACTCGCCAGCACGAGCAGCAGCCTCTTTGGCCAGCGGGCATAGGCACAGCCCTACGGCCGAAGCCGGGTGCGGATGAGGTGGGCACAGGTACTGATGATCGCCAAGGGTGCCAGGAAGCCCAGCAGGATGTGAATGAGGGTCACAGCGACTTTCCCCTCCACAGCCTTGGAGTCATCCCTGGCCTTAGTGGTAAACTTGAAGGTGCAGTGTCCACATCCCTTCTGTTTTTCAGTGTCTCGGAAAATCAAGTTTGGAGAGCAAGCGACAAGAGCCAGGAGCCACACACACACAGCCAGCCAGGCTGCTCGCTGTGCCGTGCGGTGGTGGCGGGACCAGACCGGGTGAACGACGGAGACGCAGCGGTCCAGGGAGATGAGGACCAGGAACCAGATGCTGGTGAAGCAGCTGACGGCCAAGAAGGCCATGTAGAGCTTGCAGGCTGCAGCTGTGAGGGGCCACTGGCCAGTGACCACGCTGTATATGCTGACCGGCAAGTGCAGTAAGGCCATGAAGTCTGCAGAGGCCAGGTTGGAGAACCAGATGGTGGTAACAGAGCGCGGCATTCGGAAAGCCATCATCCAGAGCACCAGCCCGTTGGCCACCACGCCAACCGCAAAGGACACAGACAGCACAGCGATGGTCAGCTGGCGGAGGCCCTGGATCATCTCAGGCTGGCACTCGGGCTCAGGGGCAGGATTCATCCTTCTAGAGGACGAAGGACCACACATCAGAGCTACAAGCCCCCTCAGAGGCCCCTCCATTCGTTTCTCTGATTCAATACATTTTTTAAAAAATATTTTTTCTATTTATGTAAGCTGCGCCAGGTCTTAGCTGTGGCATGTGGGATCTAGTTCCCTGACCAGGGATTGAACCTGGGCTCCCTGCATTAAGAGCACAGAGTTTTATCCACTGGACGACCCGGGAAGTCTCCCAATTCAGCATATATTTATTAACTGCGTCTTATGTCACTCTGATACTGCTAGGTAATTGGAACTGAGTCATATAACAAAACAGGCAGTCATAGAACTTACATCCTAAAGGGGGTGTCACAGTGGAAACACGATACATATACTAAAGAAATCCGTGATGTACTACAAGCCCTGTGGAAAAAAGGAATACAAAAGAAAAAAAAGAAGTGGCCTCTGACTTTCGGTTATGTCAGAGCAGCTTCATCAGACAGTCTGACGTTAAAAAATTATAACATCTGGCCAAAAACATTAAAAAGGTGAAGACATTGGAGAGTGATCAAAATCAAGCACACTGGAGGAGAGTCTAACCCTTGATGGGGGGACTGCGTGAGGTCCCCAGTGTGAGTTTGCACCTTCTGGGTGTGAACCTTTGTAACCGCTGCATCCTCACTGGCTTCAGGTATGAAAGGAGAGAGTTGTAAGCCAGCAGATCAGTCAGAAAGTGAAAAGAGAGGGAACGGTGGGAGGAGGGGAGGCCCAGGGCAGGTAAAGTCCAAAATCTGCATATGACTTCATCCAAATCCTTGCCTGACTAAATTATTTAAGTTTGAGGGAGACCCCAGGATGCCTGGTGAGAAAGCAAGAGCTGGAATTTGCAAGCACTAAGCAGAGATTTCAGTCGTTTGCCCACCACAGAGGTTAGCGTGTGGAGTTTTGAGCAAAGATTTGAAGGAGGTGAGGAAGAAAGCCGTGTGAATGTCCGGAGGAAGCGTGTTGCAGGTAGCATTAACAGCCACGCGGAGACCCTAAGATAGGACCACGCCTCCTGAGTCCAAGAAGCAGTGCGAAGGCCACTGAGCGATGGGAGAGGGGTTGGAAGTGAGACGAGACAGGGGATAGGGGCGGTTCATGCAGCGTCCTGTGGGCCACAAGGAGGACTACCCCACCCTTTACTGGGAAGGAAGTGGGAGCTGCAGGAAGACTCTTGGCAAGTGGAGGGACCAGTTCTCAGATTTTAACAATCACTGCAGCTTCTGAGTTGAGACTAGATTGAAGGGGGCTAGGATGGAAGCAAGAAGCCAGTGAGAAGGCGTCTGCAAAAATCGGGGTGAGCGATGGTGGTGACTGTGGTCATGGCAATAAACATCACAGGAGGTATGCGTGTCTGTGTGTGTGTGCACGCGTGCACTCAGTTGTGTCCAAATCTTTGCTACCCGAAAGAGTAGCCCACTCTACTGTAGCCCACCAGGCTCCTCTGTCCATGGAATTTTCCAAGCAAGAATACTGGAGTGGGCCACCACTGGCTACTCCAGGGGATCTTCCTGACCCAGGGATCAAACCCGTGTCTCTTGCGTCTCCTGCGTTGCAGGCGATTCTTTACCACTGCGCCACCTGGGAAGCCCCATCAGAGGAGGCAGTAAGAAGCATATCTTAGATGTATCTTGAAGACAGAGCTGACCAGATTTGCCAATAGGCTGGGTGTGCAGAGTGAGAGGAAAAACAGAGTCAGGGGTGACCACAGATGGCTGAACAGCTGGAATTTGGAGCTCCAGAAACTGATGGGGAAGACAGTGTTGAGGTCGGGGCAGGGTGGGGTGGTGCAAGTTTAGGATAAGACCAGGAGCTGAGTGTTGGACACGCTGACTTTGCCTGTTAGACACTCAAATAGGCAGTTAGATATTGGCAGTGAGATTACAGGAGAGCGTTTCCAGCTAGAGATATGTGGGCATCAGTAAAATTTGTGTTCTTTTTCCTAAAATGCTTTTTATAATTTATTTATTTTTAACTGAAGGATGATTACAATGTTGTGTTGGTTTCTGCCACATATCACCATGGATCAGCCGTATTGAATTTCTTCAGCCTTGAGCCTGACCGTGAACATCAAGGGTTAGTGTAGAGAGAGAACAGACATCTAGTGTTGGAGAAAGCATGTGAGCTTAGATGTGGGACAGTCGTAGGTTGAAATTCTAGTTGAGAGGCTGGCTGTGTGGTCGCGGGCAAAGAGCTTTCCCTCTCTGAGCCTCAGTTTTGCTCACCCGAGAAAGGGGTATAGAATCCTCAAACACCTTTCTCTCTTCCCCTAAGTCCAGTTCACCACAAAGCCTGGTTGATTTTGCCTCTAAAAAGCCTCTTGTGTCTGTACACTCCATCCTGTCTCCCCAACCCCTCCGTCCAATGGAGGGGAGTGGAGCCCCAGCGTCTCCCACTTACTACCTATCTTTCTGCTCCTATACTTTGATCTCCTGCAAGCCATTTGTCACACTGCAGCCAGAATGATCCTTCAAAAGCCCAACTCAGGGACCTCGCCTTTGGTCCAGTGGTTAAGACTCAGGGCGCTTTCACTGTAGGGGATGTGGCTTCAGTCCCTGGTCAGAAAACTAAGATCCCGCATGCCACACAGTGCGGCCGAAAGGGGGAAAAAAAAGTCCAACTCAAAAGCTGTGCTTTGGGGCTTCCCTGGTAGCTCAGTGTTAAAGACTCGGCCTGCCAATGCAAGAGACACGAGTTCGACCCCTAGTCCTGGAAGATCCCACACACCTCAGAGCAACTAAGCCCATTCACCGCAAGTATTGAGCCTGTGCTCTAGGGCCCATAAGCTGCAACTACTGAAGCCCTCGCACCCTACAGCCCGTGCTCTGCAACAAAAGAAGCCACCGCAGTGACAAGCCCGCATGCTGCAGCTCACCGCAACCAGAGAAAACCCTGCTCTCTCGCGCTCAGTCATGTCTGACTCTGCGACCCTCTGGGCCTTAGACTGCCAGGCTCCTCTGTCCCTGGGGATTCTCCAGGCAAGAAAGCTGGAGTGGGTTGCCATGCCCTCCTCCAGGGGATCTTCCCGACCCAGGGATCGAACCCGTGTCTCCTGCATCTCCTGCATTGCCGACAGATTCTTTACCTGCTGAGCCGAATGCCTGGCAGCAATCAGACCTGAGTTTGTGGGATTTGATGATTCATGTCTGTCTCCCCCACAAGACTCTGAGCTCCATAAAGACGAGGCTAGTATGTGACTCATTCACTAGCGCCTAGCACATAGTAAGCACTCAATAAATAATTGAAAACTGATTGTCTAAAGAGGACAGTCTCTCCTTGTCCCCCAGAGGATGGAGTCATTCATTTAAAAGTCTAAATATACGCATTGAGCCCACAGTGTCTGTCACACACTCTAAGCACCGGGGGAGCAGCAGTGATGAAAAATCTCTTTTCTTGGTGGAGCTGACATGAAAGGCACGAGGAAGCTCTTCACCTGGAGGAGGTGTTTCAGAGCTTTTCATCTCTTTTGCCGCCACCACCTCCTGGAACCCCCCTGCGGCACTTCCCCTGTCCTCCTCTCACCTCTCAACCTCTGAGCCCCTTGAGGCTCTCCCCTCCAAATACCAGTTCCGCATGACCGTTGCCCATGTCCGAGGGCTGGGGTGTCAGGCTGAGGAAACTGTCTCTCTCCTCCGTCCGTCCTGGGAAGTCTCTAGCCTTGAGCCCGTGTTGGAGTCAGGGGGCATATGGCCAGAAGATGGTGAGTGAGTTTGGAGCAGATAAGATCCAAGAAACGGTGTCGAGCAAGAATCTTGGTGGCCCAGAGATCAGCATCAGAGCCCATGAAGCATCAGTAGATGCTGTCCTGCTAGACTGTGGAGGCTGGGAGCTCGGTGGGACTAGGATGAGAGAGGCTCCAGACAGACCGTTTCGCTGCACCACTCCAGTCCCCCTCATCCGTCCTTTCTAACACCCCAGACCCCTACCCCTCTCAGGAAGAAAACTCAGCCTGCTTATCTCTACACTGGGGAGCTCCAGTTGACCTTCTCTTAGGAAATAATAGTGGATGCAATGGTGGATAAGGTTTTTCCTTGTGGTTGTTCAGTCATATCCAACTCTTAGCGACCCCACGGACTGTAGTACCACAGGCTTCCCTGTCCTTCACTGTCTCCTGGAGTTTGCTGAAATTCACGTCCATTCAATCAGTGATGCTATCTAACTCTCTCATCTTCTGCCACCCCATTCTCCTTTTGCCTTCCATCTTTCCCAACATCGGAGTCTTTTCCAGTGAGTGGCCAAAGTATTGGAGATTTGGCTTCAGTGTCAGTCCTTCTAATGAATATTCAGGGTTGATTTCCTTTAGGATTGACTGGTCTGATCTCTTTATTGTCCAAGGGACTCTCAAGAGTCTTCTCCAACACCGCAGTTTGAAAGCATCAGCTCTTTGGTGCTCAGCCTTCTTTAGGACCCAAATCTCACATCTGTCCATGACTACTGGAAAAGTCACAGCTTCAACTATACAGACCTTTGTTGGCAAAGTGATGTCTTTGCTTTTTAATACACTGTCTAGGTTTATCTTAGCTTTCCTCCCAAGGAGCAAGCATCTGTTGATTTCATGGCTGCAGTCACTGTCCACAGTTGGCTTTGTATAAGCCAAGATAAAAAATACATGCCCTCCCCACTAATTTTTCTGATGCATGGTGGTGGTGGTCCATAGAATCCAAAGCTCTAAGAGGAGTTCCCCAGATTCCTAGGGTCAGTAAGGATTTGTAGCAAAGCCCAATACATCAGAACTTCCCACAGAGTCATGAGCAGGAGACATGGTTGTTGTTTTAAGCTTCTATGTTTTGGGGTGGTTTGTTTGGCAGCAAAACTAACTGATGCACATGGGAAACAGCTCGTTTCATTCAAACTTCATTGCCTATGTGTTAAGCATGGGAGGACAGGGTAGACACACAAATTCTGCCTCCAGGAAACTCTGAGTACTGAGAGAGAGAGAGAGATGAAATAAATATACTGACAACAAATGTATTTATTTACAG